TTGTCCTAGCGAATCACACCTAAGCATTCATGAGTTATTTCTGTATATACTGTACACGTGGGATCAAAATCCAAATTTCTTTCACAAAATTGCTTACAGAGATAGGTGGGTTTGTTGGTCATGTATGCGGCATTCATTTTTGGCGCATCTGTCATATGTAGCAGGTTTAGCGGGACAATTTTTCCACCTACGCGTTTAAACTTATGCGCAGGATTTATTGAGGGCTTCAGATCTCGGCAAATGACAGCTCTTCGGCGCCGGTAATCTCGTCCCAGTATAAGGCCCTCCAACAATTATAACGCTATACCAACAACTCCAACAAAACATCACAATGAAAGTCGAATCAGTAACAGGAATTACAACAAGTCAGAACTTGCAGGGAACTGTAAATCAGAGGTCGAGCCTTGCGGATGTCTCCAAAGCTCAGACGAGTTTCTTTGAATATTTTTATCGCTACTAAAACTCAACGTTAACCTCATTTGCACGACGCGTGAACCAGTACAGTAAGGGAGCTGAGCCGGATTCGGGAAGTTTGGTCAACTCCTGGTCAGGCGCCATTGTTGGACGAAGGCCAGAAATAACATAACATAACCAGTTATCCGTGGGATTAGAATGATATCATTCTACAGTCCCTCAATCGTTTTCGCTTTCTCTCGTCATAACGGCCGCCTTCTTCTGGTACATTTCGTTTCCCGTACAAAGTGATAAAACATTTTGCACCCAGTGCGATCCATCGCGGTCAAGAAAACGTGTTCTTCATGGGGACTACATATAGTAAAGCCGATGATCAGTCCCATAGCTGTTCCCGAAAAATATGACGCTTCAATTCCTCGTCTTCCTAGGACTCCTAGCCTTGGCAGAGGCCTCCCTTCGCTTCAAGAGACATTCCCCTTCATCAAGCCTTCAGCACTATTTCCGGGATAAAGCTGCCCGACAGCAACATCCACGTTTGGGTCGACAAGCATATTATACGCAACCACAGCAGTACTACGGCTATAACACTCCTGCATACTACCAAACAACATATACCGGCATAGGCGCAGTATCAGCCACTACAGCCGCCAACCTTATGAGCGGGAGCTCTCCACAATACCAACAGTACCCGTACTATCAGTATAGTCAGCCCTCATATAATGGTTACTCTCAGTACAATTACCCAAGCGCTTACTCTGGTTATTCTCAACCATCAAGGTAGGTTAACCATGCTGTTAATTAGACTGCTATTTTCTTTTCGATCCTTTTTTTGTTTAAAATAAAGTTGTAGGCCTGTTAGTAATGTATTATTAGACGTATTATTTACTTTTTCTCATTACTATTGTATGATGTGCCCGGAAAAACTTATTGCTCCGCCTCTTAATGAATACTTAAGACGATGGCCACGCAGAAGGCAGCGCCTACCCCACCTGTTTGTCAGTTCGCAACCAAGGGGGATGGAGGTGGGGGGGGGGGGGGACATGCAGGGAGACAAATCCGATGACCAGCCTCTGTTTGAGTCCACGAAAAATACGTTCCTGGGATCAGGTTGCTTCCATGGTAAACAGTGGATTGTGCTTAACACCACAATCGCATTTTTAATTCCTTCAAATGTGCATGTGGCGATGGTCTTAGAAAAACCGATGTCACGGGCTGTTTTGACGGTGCTCATGCCATCTGACGTCAATTGTTTAGCTAGTTCTGCATCGACGCCAGGGAAATAAATGGATATCTTCGACTTTTTCGATTCACGCTTTGAGTGCCCAAATAGTTTCCTTTGCTATATATTTTATTTCTTCGTCTTCCAAAGTAATCAAAAACTGGAAGGAGGATAGTTTCTTGAGTAAATCAAGAAAAAACCATCTCACCAAAAGTGAATGATATAAACTTTCGGACACCAAATAAATCCGTGCTCTAAGGAACATAATTCCCAACTGTGGTGCAATAATTCGTGCGAATTACGGTAGAGGCGACTGGCGGCTAGGGAACTCGAAGGATAGTTAACTGAATCTCTTGCACTAAAATAGAAAGCGGGGCTAGCATGGCTTCTAATTTCTTCCAGTGAAATAATACAGTTCCCGTGGTTTCAATGCCTCAGGCTGTTTGTGCTAGAAGAACTACCTTACTACTTCGCTACCACCAAACATTATAAAATCATCATGTTCTAAACGAAAATGCTTTGCTCCAGTGGTGGACTTCAAATGGACAGATTTGGCAATCGGTACGCGATGTTGGGCAATTTCCGTCTTAACGTCGCATGCAGATCTCGCGGATGTCCTGGAAAGAAATAAGCTCCCAACTAAAAGGAGGTGAAATGGATATATCGAGCACATCAGACATTCATAGAACTGGTTGTCGGGTGAAGGAGAGATAATTCCACATACATATGACTAAGACTCAGTCTTGCGCAACCATCCCCAAAACTGCGACCTCATGTCCACAATCTTGCCATTTACCTTATCTTGATCATTCACTTATTTACCCAGCCTTTTTTACCCCAAGGGATATTTTCTATGTGTTGAATTGATCCCATAGCCACACCCGAGTGATCCTTTAATTCACATCGGGTGAAAACTCCTTTCAAGAGATGAAACTGCAGAAAAACAGCAGGGTTTGTTGGATTATAGAATTGGCACTGTGTGTAGATTTGCTTGTCTGTGCCCTCTCAACGAGATAGTGTAGAACCGAAAAATAGGTGAAGCGGTTGAGCGAGCGAAGGTAGTGAGAGCAGAGAAATGGGGGTGGCGAGGTCACTTGACACGCTGAAAAGGCGAGATCGCCGAAACAGTATACAAGCAACCTCAAACCTTGCAGCTTTCAAGAAGCAAAAAATCTCTCCGTTTCAAGAAACAATGTTTTACTGTCTTGTCCATTTGTATATAACAAAAGCTTTGCCGTATACATAACTAATAAGCGCCTAATAAGTGAAATTTGATTGTATTGCCTTACAGCCAAGTTAATTCCATTATTACTGTTGCCTCTATGATAATCATGTACACATGCTTTAGCTTCTGTAGCTTGTGATTGTTATAAATATTGCAATGCTATGAGCTGTATTATATGTAATAAATAATTTCTCCAGAACTCGTTACTGTGCTAAAACAGGCGGGGGTTGGTTCAGCAAAGCTCAGGATTGTGTGTCAGTCTGGACTTTTTCAAAATTTCCACAACTAGCCTCACCACGGCCATGTCAATCAATGGTGACAGTCACCAAATGTTCGGCTCGTTTTGCACTCTCAACTCCAACTCCTGCTCAGAGATGCGCCGTGCAGGCGCATGTCTTGTTCTGCAGCGCTAGTATGGAGAAGACAACGATCCATAGTTTCAAGGGTGAGGTGGAAGAGAAAGCGATGCTGCATGGCTCCCGAAGTTGAGGAACAGGCGTTGTATAATACAAATTTGGTTAGCGGCATGGTAGGGATTTATAAGCTAGAACATCAGCTGGGATATTCACAATGCTGTACAACGAAAGCAGTTCTGAATAGCACACATACAAGTGGAATAGAACATACGTATTTATGCCGTTGAGCTGTTAACATCTATGTATATTAACACATTGACGACATTGAGACGCGGTAACGCGTCTCACTTTGCGCACCTCGTTGGACATTGAGACGCGTTACCGCGTCTCACCCTTATCATCCCTTTTTCTAGGGCATGCGCAGCTTTTTCCCGAATTGTTTGTCTCTCTTCTATGGATTAGAACATAACATTATTGTGAACGACATAGGTCATTGTTTGTTCAAATATGCTCCAGTTTAGAAGAAGTTTTCCAAGCTCACCGAAACCGGCGGCTTGGTTCATTAATAGTTTTCATGCTATTCTCATGAACACGTCAATAAAAAAGGGTAGTGAAAGTAAATGCAAATCTAAAGAGACAGAAAAATACATGTTTCACTTGGTATAACCACATCAAAAGAGCTTTTGGCATCCACTACAGATAAAATGACTAAAGTTTCCTTTTTCATTACCATTACATGTTCTTTAATCGGAACTTCGTCACTATATACTCTATTACCTTCTACGCATTGACTGTTACTGAGATGTTTTTGTACCACTGGTGCTTTAAAAAGTTATCAATAAAAATTCACGGATCCGAGGTGCGGCGGTCGCACTCGCAAAATCGGCCCGGTCCCACACGGCCAAAAAAGCCAAAACGCGCGCGGTCGTCAATGTGTTAAAGTAAATATAGTGTAGTATAAAAAGGTCGCCTGTCCGTACATAGAGTTAACGAAGAAATCAACCTCATCGAAACCTCATTGACCCCACGGGGAAACTATGCTTTGCACAGGAGATGTAGTGGTATAATGGTTTTATATGTGTGTACATTAATACAGCATAAGTACAGATTTCACCGAAGGTCTTGTTCTTCTCCTTAACAACAAGCGTAAAATCCCGTTAAAAGCGGCTCATGAATATACATCGAGTATCATTATGAAAAAGGAAAAGAGCAGCAGGTTCCTCTCAGACGCTGCCATTAGCAAGTTTGCGAGAAGGAAGACATAAGGACTTATGGGTGTGGGTCAAGAAGATCCAGATTGTGGCGGTGCGACCAAAGTGAAGCTACGTATGCGACACATGATTTGCAGCTGTCACCAAGCCGGGTCGTTGTACATTAGACAGTTGTATAAAGGTAAGCTAGTTAAAGAATACCCAAACTTTGCATTGTCTCGCCTATCGCCTTTATTTTCTTTCCCATCAAGTGATTTTGAAGGGAGTCAAATTGTGCAGTTTTTTTTGTGCATTTTTTTGCACTTGTGCGTATAATAAGGACAGTATTGAACGTGGCCACAACTACGTGGGTTGGATTTTAGCGTGAACAGACGTAGCGTTTACAGCTAAGTAGGGTATTTAAAGGAGAGCACCTTCGCAACATAGATTTCCTGGTCCACACTTGAAGGGTACATGCAATTTTGAAAACCCCCATATAACCCGCCCGAATTGCATAGTGTTAACATGGTTATGGGCTCACGATATGTATGCGAGTAAGCCCAGACTATATACAGGTGCTGTGAACAAAAGGAGAATCATCCTGAGCAATATCTTGTCCGGCATGTGATCCATACTTGATTGCTGCGACTGCCAACAAAGGTGTTTCCCCATCTGTCACGGTTTGTTCCGCTGAAAAACACAATCTGTGTAGTTGAAATAAAAACGACCGGACCGATTGCTAAGAAGTATCGCTCCACAGCAGAATAATCCCTAATTCTTGTTTAAGCCAGCCAAAGCAGTGCGTCCTTCCGACGAAAATTTATTGCTACCGTACCCTCTTTGTAAGCCGAAACACTAATTTGCGAATAAGCTAGCCCTAGAAATTTTCCTTGTCAAGGCCAAGTTTCCTAAGGCTTGAAAACTTTGCCGAATACACGCCTGCCCTTTACGATTGATTGTAGCAGAGTGTGTGGCGTATCCCGGAGAAGGATTTATCAATGGCGACTGCTCAACAATCGAACAAAAAGCAGTAACTGAAATAATTGTCCCCTTAAGCCAGTAAATAACACTGAGTCATCCTTATGGTACCGGGTACTTCACCTTGCATCTGGTGACGTCCACTTGAAGGCTGCCACTTATATTATTAGTGTAAGTAATCATGGGTAATTCAAACATTACCGAAACACGCGCGCTGGCCTGATATAGCTGCTCTGTTGTGGCGAAATCACTGTAAAAACCCCGCTCCGATTCTCAGCGAATCGCATGTTACTCGGACTGAATACATCAATCATAGCCTTCACTACGGGAAAGAATGGGATAGAGCCGGGAAAATCTCAACGAACGCTTCTCAGTTCCACTGATCCATAGTGATCGGTCATATCGAGATCAGCAAACGGGATTGAGCCCTTGCTCAGCCCTATGTATTTCAATGAAGGAGGCGGTGTAGCGGCAAGCTCGCTGCTTACTGCGCTCACGCTGTGGGGTACAAATGTCGTCACGTTTGCCGTCTAGGCCATCGTAGCCCTCCCCTCCTTTGACGTTGGTTAGTGGTACCAGACTCATCTGGATCATGTAGAACACATTCGATTTTGATAGTACCCATAGATCTTTGTAAATGGCATTCAAATGCCGGTCACATTTCAAATGGGATAGAATGGGAGATGCAAATAGAAAAGGCTCGATCAACGCTGAATGGTTTATTACCCTCCTCGTACGCATTAATGTCTCATTCGTCGCGTCTAAGTTCTTGGAGCAACTCCAAACCCGAAGAGCGGTGGTGGGTCCGTCACACAAGTAATTCTATTTACTTATTATACGACTCGATGCTGCACAGGGAGGGTGCTCAGTAGTGCTGTGCTGGGGTATGACGTGTAGCCAAACTAGGGCAGCCCGCTGCAGGAAAAGCACGAAGGGCATTTCTTCACTGTTTCTTGATCTATAAGAGGTGATTTCTTAGGAAACAGCCCGATAGCTTGCCTCACTTGTATTTTCGGCATTCTGCCTATCCTTACTACATTCTATGTATAATTCGTAAGTACTGCGGGCGGGTGATGTGTGTATGTGGGAGTGGTGTGGTGTGTCCGAAATGCACAGTGGCGCTTCCCTGCCGCGCAGCGCATGTATTTGGATAATATAGGGGGTGGGTAGGGGAACATATTTGGTGGGGTTTAAAAGTGATACGACTGATAAGAGTCGATAAGAGGCGCTAGAACGCAAATTTCACGACATTCATAGCGCGCATCCGAGCAGTGGCGCGTTGGTTCCAAGAAGTGAGTTTATTTGACTTAACGCTACACGAGGTTGACAATATGATTCCGGTGGCTAACGTTTCGGCGATTTCGCCTTCTTCGGAGCCTAAAAAGGTGGAAACCAATTCATGATTTATCCGACCAAATGTCTCGCTACCCTACGAGAGCTTCGAGATCCAGCTAAGACATCACATCTTACTTACTATAAAGCGCTTCGTCTGTCGTCTGTCTGTCGTCTGTCTGTCTGTCTGTCGTTCTGTATGTCTGTCACGAAATTCCCTAGCTCCTCGGGATCCGCCTGGAGGGACCGGGTCAAGTGTGGGATGGGTGGGCAAGGTCTCACGAAGTACAAAACACACATCAGCTAAGCGGAGCCCCGCCCACAGTGGGCGTGGCGTGCGTCGAAATGAACTGTACTGACGACCAAGATTTCATTTCAGTGACAAAACAACCTCGAAACTGGGCCAAAAAGTGGGTAAAGGTGTGCATTGGTAAGTCACATCGAATTAGGGAGACCCACCCCCGGTGGGCGGGGCGTTCTCTAAAAAAGCAGTGCTTTATGAAAATTTCATAACCTGGTAACTAATAGGCAGATAAAGTCCCGTGCCTTCCTAGATCAGCGGAATTAGTTCACAGGAAGACTGTATAGCGGATACCGGGGAACGGTCAACAGAATCGATGGCTCGTCGCGCCACCGCGTGCGGCCAATCGTGCGGCGAGGGGGCGGAGCCTTCAGGACGAGTGTTGTCTATATCGACTTCTGAGTAGGATGGCGATCTTCATACTCTCTCTTTGTGACTAGTAGGATGTTTTACAGCGTGAAACTTAAAGTGGGTAGACTTACTCCTCCAAACTATGATGACCGTGCCTTTCTAAAATACACTGTTCATCATTTTAACCACCTGTGATTCAATACTATTTGTTCTTTGGTAATTGCAGAGCTTAAGAACTGGAAATTCTTCTTTGACACGGTTTCCCTAACTTATATCTTGATCTGAGTTCAGGGTTCCGTTATTTGCATTAGGCTAGTTTACATATTGTGTACTAGTGTAAACTCAAATACTAGTTTACATATTGTGTAATAAAGCCATAAAGACCAACGAAAAAGAAGTTGGGAGCCGCGCAAGGCCAATCCGCCGTGCTGATGGACCGGTCATCTAAGTAATGAAGCCTACCCATAGGTATACTGAGGAGATGATCCGTAGTTGTAAGCGTTGTATCGAGAATAGTAATTGTAATACGGAGTGTACTGCCTGTACGGCTGCACCCAGGACTGTACCGGCTGCCGATAATAGTAATATGGTTGTCGCATAACAGGCTGGTAATACGGTACTCTGTTGTAGGAATACGGTGAGTAACGATTGTAGGCAGGTGCATTGTACGAGAACGAACTGAACGGTTGGCATCCATGCCCAAACTTGGAATCGGCACTCATACAAATGACTGCTGTCACGACGGATTGGAGATGACCAAGGATGATAGC